AACTCCAAGAGCCCCACGGAGGAGGCTGTAATGCTGGGAGTACCACTCACACAGCTGCTGTGAAGAAGGAGCGCCAGCAGGCGCAGTACGGTCAGTCTCAAAGCCCCTAGCCTCAGTGCCTCTAGGCGCAGCACCCCCAGTCGTAGCACCTCCAGGCTCACCACCCGCAGTCTCCGCACCCCCAGTCTCAGCACCCTCAGGCCCAGCACCCTCAGTCTCAGCACCCCCAGGCTCAGTGCCCCCAGACCCAGCACCCCCAGGCTCAGCACGCTCAGCACCTCGCACATGACCAGAGTCAACAGCTACCTCGACAGGCTCGACCGGGTCTACCTGGGAAACACCTGAGGGAGCAGCACCCTGTGGAGGCAGGGGGTCTACCGAAGCAGCACCTGGCGTGAGGAAGAGCGGCGGGGGGGGGGGGGAGCGGGGCAGTGCGGTAGGGGAAGAGACGGTAAAAGGGTACCGACTCGTCAAAAGTGACGTCCTGAGAGGCGAAGGCCCGGCGCGAGGTGGGGTGGTAAAACTGCCAGCCAGGCGCGTCAGGGACAAAGCCAAGGAAGACACAGGGAACGGCACGGGAGGAGAGCTTGTCCGCGGACGTATCGCGGACAAAGGATCTACATCCCCAGACGCGGAACGCCGACGCATCGCCAACCTCCCCCGTCCAACGCAGGGTAGGCGAGGTCTCTGGAACAGAGACTCGGGGCCAGAGGTTGAGATGATGCGCGGCGTACTGCACTGCAAACGGCCATAGGAAATGGGGGGCAGCCGCATGGATCATGGAGGTACGAGCGACCTCCATGACAAAACCAATGCGGCGCTCAGCAACCCCATTCTACCGCGGAGAGGCCGGGAGTGTGAACGACTGGGTGATGCCGTGCTCCGCACAGTAGGCTGCCAAGAGGTCAGAGGAAAACTCGCCACCTCTGTTAGAGTGCAGACGCAGGACAGGAAAGTCCGACTGGAACCGCTGGCAAAGCTGGAGACGAGCAGCGCAGATCCAGGGGATCAAGACGTCAGGGACCTCACCCTTGGTACGCAAGGGGAAGACCGTGGTGTAGCACGTGTAGTCGTCGACGACCAGCAGAAAGTACCGCTCGTGGCCCTGTCCCCGGACGCGGGCGGGGCCCCACACGTCCAGGTGGAGAGTCTGCAAGGGAGCCTCTGTGGGAGGGAATGAGGAGGAGTGAGGTGCAGCGCGCTGCCACCCCTCGACACAGGGAAGACATGGAGGAGCAGGCGAGGGTGGGAGAGGAGGGGGAACCCAGGGAAGACCAGAGACAAGGTACCTGGAGTGCATGCCTCGAAGGCGCTGGACTGACGGGTGACCAAGGCGGTGATGCCAGAGGACAGTCCTGTGCGACAGGGAGCGACACGAGCAGGGGGCCGACAGCTGACGTGACGCAGAGGCAGACGCAGACGCAGCTACCTGAGGAGACTCAGTGGTCAGTGTGTACGAGTCTGACCCCGGCTGTCGAGTGAAGGTAGCCAGGTGACGACCCGTCCACGCACACGTGCAGTGCGTCACACGCTCGTAGGCCGGGGTGAACTGGTGAACACCCGCGTCCTGGAGCGCTGAACCCACCACCAAGTTCGTAGAGAACGAGGGGAGGTAGAGGCCCGACAGCGTGCCAGACGGGACAGCATGACAAGGGAGGGCAGTGGTGGAGGTCACAAGGACCGGACCCCCTGAGGGGTTAGCCAGGGAGACAGCAACCGGTCGTGGAAGCTGCTCTAGGGCAGTGCGGTCGCGGAAGAAGCAGCGAGAAGCACCTGAATCCAGTGCGAAGGTGTGCAGTGCCTCAGTAGGTGCGGCACCAGCAGACGTAGACGCACTAGCACCTAGGGCAGCAGCCTCACCAGGACCTAGAGCAGCAGACGCGCTAGCACCTAGAGCTGCAGCCTCATTGGTCCCAATGCCTGGGTCAGGCGGTACACTCAGGTAACAGTCACCCTCAGCACTAATAGTCAATGCATACATAGCAGCAAGAGTAGCATCATAATCAAGAGCAAAGTTATCAATCCCCTTCTTAAGCAGATCAGCCCAGCGGGGCAGCTCAGAGGCGTAAGGAAACTGCTCGCGCCAGGCGTCGTCGAGGCGAAAGAAACAGCGCTGCGCCGTGTGAAACCTCCCACAAGTCTGGCCAGTGCGGTCACCTGTGCGGATGACATACGGGCATGTACCCCCTCCCCCAGACCCCCCACGCTGAGAGTACCACTCACGGAGCTGCTGGGCCGAGGGAGTCTCGCCGGGGCGCTGCTGCTGCTGCCTCTGGCCACCACCAAACCCCCCACGCTGCACCGCTCCACTGCGCCCGCCACCCGCTCCACCGCCGCCACCACTGCCACCACCACCTCCACCACCCCCACCACCGCCGCCGCCGCCACCACCCCCTGTGCCGCCACTGACCAACCCACCACCCGCGCCACTCCCACTCCCGCCACCACCCCCGCGCCCCCCCACCTCCTCCACCGCCGCTGTCCCCACCCCCACCTCCACCACCCCTGCCCCCCTTGCCCCTGCTGCCCTTGCGTCTCCCATCAGGAGCAGACACGGCCCCGACCCTCTCAGCTCCGAGGTAGTCGACAGCAGCAGCACATGCAATGGAGGGGAGGAGGGGGGAGGGGGAGCACCTTTCAAAGAAGGGGGTGCGGGGGTCACCATGAGAGGCTCCTACAGCTACAATACTCTTCTCAGCTGCTAGGAGTTCCTTCTCGAGCAGGTCGACAGTGAGGTCAGTGGGAGAGAGGGCAAGAAACTGGTCCCTGACTGTGCGAAGGGAGTTAGGGAGGTGGGTGACAAGGTGGTACAGTGTGAGGTACATCGGGGGGGGGGGGGGGGGTTCTTGGCGAGGAAATCAGGGGGGAGCGCGGCACGGTAGCAGAGGTCACTGGTACGGAGGTGGGTGATGAGGTCAGCTATAGTGGCAAAGGCGGACAGGTCGGGGAAGAGGTAGGGCAGTGAGAGACGGCCTATAGCAGCTGTGGCAGGGGAGGAGTAGCGCGCGACTAGTGCGTCGTATAGCTCCTTGGCGGTCTTATGCTGTCCAAAGTGCTCGCGCTTATCTAACGTTAGGTGACTGCGAACGGCTAGGCGAGTGTGTGCATCACGGGTCTGCCACTGGGAGCGAGCAGTACTGTCAGCAGTAGCGGGAGGTGCGGGAGCAGCGCCTGACGTATGGTCATACAGGGAGACATCGTCCTTGGCAGTGATCTGGAGGAACAGGTGAAGGTCATCTAACCACACCTCAAACTTAATCGGGCGACCCTCAGCGTCAAAGGTGAGAATGGATGGGGTGGCCATAGTGGCAGTAGGAACAGTAGCAATAGGAGTAGTACAGTAGGAACAGGAGTTGCTACAGGTGGGGCACAGTAGGGCGGCGCGGCTCGGCTAGGGCGGCGCGGCTCGGTTCGGGCGGCGCGGCTCGGTTCGGGCTGTGTGGCTCGGCACGGTCTGGGCTACGCGGCGGTGCGCGCCTGGGGGCGTGCGTGTGGGCGGCTGTAGCGGGCGGGCCGTGGCCGCTCGTGGGCCTTACTAGCGCGCGGGCGGCCTAGAGAGGGCGTCGCGGCAGCATACGGGCGGGGCTGCTGGGCGCTAGCGAGCTACACGCGGCCAGGAGGGCCGGTCGACGGGCTGCTCGTGGCGGCGTGGTTAACGGGCGGCGCGCGGGAAAAAAAAAAAAAAAAAAAAAGGCCGCGCGCGGCACTTGCGAGCCGCGCACAAGCAGCAGGAGAAGACGAGGCGCACGAGGGCGTACTAGGAGAACGGCACTCGAGGGCGCTAGGACGATAAGGCGCTCGAGGGCGCTTCTAACGGCGGGCCCTTAGGTGAGTCCTAGGTCTAGAACCTAAGCTAGCGTCTCATATTTCACCAGGCCCAACCAAGAGTAATACGCTTGAAACCGGGTAACCATTCAAGCAGTCGCAACTTTGTTGGGTTTGGTTGGGAGCACTTGCGATTGGCTGCAGCCCCAACAGGCTGGGGAAGGCAGATGCACGACTACCGAACTGCATTTGCACGAAACACCACACCTTGGCTCTGTTCTGTAGGCATTTGCCCGAAGGGGGAGGAGGGGAGGCGAAGCAAATGATCCGGGCTCCTGCGCAGCTTCCCAACCGAAATCACCTCCACCCCGCTACAGCCGAAAGCGCGAAACTTCGGGAGTGAGGGAGGAAACTGCCGACGGTAATGGCGAATTTGCCTGCTCAACTTCGCGCCCCATTGGCAGGGGTACATCGATGGGCCTAACCCTAAATTGCAGAGTAAAGTTTGGCAAGAGGGGGTGCAGAGCTAGAAAAACGGAATACCCTTGGAACTCCCAACTTTCCCATCACGTCTCAAACATCCGCAGCATCAGACCATCCGTTTTTTTTTTAAGCCAAGGTTGTGCTTTTCAGTGTGGGTTTCGAGCAGCTGGCGGGGATGTCCGTCGAGGGTAGATGCGGGGTGCCCCCACCCCCCGTACCTCCCTCCCTTGTCTCTCGCCAAGCTCTGAAAAAGCAGTTATCGAAGGGCGGGGCGAGTGGCGTGATTTTTGCCAGAGAAGGAAGGTGGGGAGGGGAAATCGGTAGTTTCGTATGGGCCAAAACCCCACGGCGGTAAATGGCTGTTCTGTAGCCATTCCCCCCGAACAGGTTCGGAGGGGAAATGGCTGGCTCGGCACCGTCTGCAAAACGGTTAGCCGTTTCGGCCCTAAAAACGAAGGTGGGGGAAGCTACCTATTTCCCCTCGCCCCCCCTTTGCCAGGGCCTACAGAACATAGCCCTTGTGCGACGAAGGTAGGAAACACAGGGAACCAAGTGTAATACCACAGCAGGAAAAATATGAGACAGTTGAGCAGCCACTTTTCATTCCAGCCCATGACTTTTCTCAACAACTTAGATTAGGCTAGGGTTTGTTCATGGCTGTTCAGTAGAATGTCCTAGTAAATGTTCTCATTACACGTAGATCTGAGAGTGTTCGGGCGGGACAACGTAATGTCCGGTCGTACGGCTAATTCCTACGCGAAGCCCATGAGGAAGAAGCGGAAGTAATAGAAGGGAAGGGATAGCATAGCATTAGCATATCCGCTCGCGCGACAAGGGACGAGATAGGACGGATGGAAGAATACGGAAAGGGACGCACTGGGACGGGAAGGGACGCGACGGGACGGGAAGGGACGCGGCGGCGCGGGAAGGGGCGCGAGGGGACTGGACGGGACGCGACGGGACTGGATGGGGCGGGACGGGACGCGACGGAATGGGAGGGGACTCGACTGGACAGGACGTGACGGGATGGGACGGAGAAGGGGCGGGATAGACGCGACGGGACGAAATGGGAGAAGACGCGCCGAAATTGGATGGACGAGGGATCGGAGAGGGAGAGGCATCGGCGGAATCGGAGAGGGAGAGGCATCGGCGGAATCGGTAACGGAGCGGCATCGGCGGAAGCGGAGAGGAAGGCAGCAAGGCGAGCGCCGATGCCGTCGCCGTCGCGGATGGGAAGAATCGCGCCGAGACCGGAAGGGACGGGAGGGGACGCGACGAGAGAGAACGGGGCGCGACGAGAGAGGAGGGGACGCGACGAGAGAGGAGGGGATGGGACGAGAGAGGAGGGGACGGGACGGGAGGGGACGAGAGGAGAGTCGTCTAGAGCAGATGGGATGGGAAGGCACACCCTGTGAGTGTGAAGGGGTTCTGTCTCAATGGTGCGGCGGGTGAAGCACTAGCACATCAACCACATCCCCTTTTCCTTTACCCCATCCCCCTTTCCCTTTCCCCCATCCCCCTTCCCAGCATCCCCCTTTCCCTTTTCCCCATCCCCCTTCCCAGCATCCCCCTTTCCTTTTCCCCCATCCCCCTTCCCAGCATCCCCTTTTCCCTTCACCCCATCCCCCTTTCCCTTTCCCCCATCCCCCTTCCCAGCATCCCCCTTTCCCTTTTCCCCATCCCCCTTCCCAGCATCCCCCTTTCCCTTTCCCCCATCCCCCTTCCCAGCATCACCCTTTCCCTTCACCCCATCCCCCTTTCCCTTTCCCCCATCCCCCTTCCCGGCATCCCCCTTTCCCTTTCCCCCATCCCCCTTCCCAGCATCCCCCTTTCCCTCTCCCCCATCCCCCTTCCCAGCATCCCCCTTTCCCTTTCCCCGGTACCTCCCCTCCTTCCCCGCATCCCACTTCGTCTTTATTTTCATATGAGCAGTGGCAGCACTAGCCATGGGCACATCAAAGCAACGGGAGGAACCAGCAGGCGAATCATCGGCAGAAGTTATGAATCGGGGGGGGCTTTTTCCCATCCCAGTTTATGAGCAGGGTTATGGCGTCCCTTGATTTTTTAATCCAACTTATTTTTCCAATGGTAGCATGCATTGCCAAAAATATATAGATTAGACCATGCATCTTATTCTACTTTGATAATCCACAATTATTGTTTGCATGTTGTCTCTGGATGACCTGATCGACCTTTTATTTCAAATTCCACCCTCAAATGACAGGTGTTTGCTTTTTACAACACTTGCATAACATCACTTTTTTTATGGAACTGTACAATGTACCAGTGTAGAGGGTGTCACCCTGTTACGGGTGCAATGAATCGAGGTAGCGAGAATTGCACTAGGGTGTCAAACGAGTACAGAATGTGAGCGAAGGCATGAGCGAACATTTATACGCATAACATGCAAACGGTAACGCGGTGCGTGCGAGCTAGCTAGTGCTACGCTGGAGCGAGGCTCGGGCTAGTCCCGAAGCGTAGGCCGACACGACCAGGCCAGCAGTGCGAAGTTTGGTGAAACAGTGCGCGCGAAGTCGGCGAAGCTCCGTTAGCAGTAACGGGCGAACAACGGCTGGTACTGTACGCGATGTAGTCGGGCCCCGTAAGGAATGCCGAGAAAATTCCTTACACTACCCCCCCCCCCCCCCCCCCCCCCCCCCCCCCCCCCCTCCCCCTCAAGAAGCCCCCCTCCGCTACGCGAGTGCGTGTATATCGCGGAATCCCTGGCTCCTCAGGTACACTTGCAGGGCAGGGTGGTTTTCGATGTTGGCCAGGGGCACCCAGCTATCCTCAGTTGGCGTGCGATCCTTCTAGCGAACGAGGAATTCAATCCTCTTGATTCCCGTGGGGTGTCGGATCCGATGGCTCATGATTTTTTTGGGCGCGATGATCGGCTCCGATGCAGGGCGAGTCATGGATGGCGGGCGGTGGCGAGGCAATTGGCTGGTGGTTGGGATGTATGGGCGAAGCAAGCTGACGTGGAATGAAGGGCTGATGTACCAGTCAGTTGGTAACAGCAGGTGCGCGGTCACTGGTCTGATCATGTGGCTGATTTGGAATGGGCCACAGTAGCGCGGTTGAAGTTTTGGTACGTCGCGCAATCGCAGATTTTGCGTGTCGAGCAGTACGTAATCCCCTAACTGGTATGTGACTGGGCGGCGGTGGCGGTCAGCGTTGCGCTTAGCGATGACATTTGCTTTTTTAATTGCTTCTGCGGCTCTGGTGCGGGCAGCTTGCAGAATTTCGCCGAATTGCTGTGCACGTGGCGTTGGGTTGTCCGGACTCGGCGTCATGGGCACTGTAGGGTTTTGCCCGTAGTTCAGGTAAAAGGGGGATTGCTGCGTCGTCGCTGACGTGGCGTTGTTGTACACGAACTCGATCAGCGGCAGCTGCTGCTCCCAAGTCGTGGGGTCGTCGCACGTGGCACGAACCAACTGCTCCATCGTCTGATTCGTCCGCTCTGTTTGGCAGTCGGTCTCGGGGTGGTACGACGAACTGAACTATAGCCTGGTCCCGAACTGCTCCCAGAGGTTCTTCCAGAAGTTGCTGGTGAACTTTGTGTCCTTGTCGCTGATAATTGCTGCTGGTATCCCGTGCAGGCGAACAACGGCTGCGATGAACAGGCGAGCGGTCTCTTCGGCTGAGATCGACTTTTTGCACGCAGCGAAGTGTGCCATCTTCGTCACCCTGTCAACGACGACCATCACCGCGTCGTTACCCCCAGGGTTCGAAGGTAACCCTGTGACGAAGTCCATGGTAACTTGCTGCCAGGCGCACTCGAGCAGTGGGATCGGCTGGAACTGACCCGCCTTCCGCTTCCTCGAGCTCTTCATCACTTGACACGTGGGGCACGTGTCAAACATTGTATGATGTGCGGCTACAGTGGGTTAGCCTATAGTGGGTACACATTTCTAGGGTTAGGTTTGACCTATTTGTACCCAACACTCATTCTAGTCATCCATTCTCGTTTCTGATTCTGACATGGTATTACGAGCCTAGGTTCCACCTAGGACCGAAACGATAGGGCCCACCGTTTCCGCTAGCCGCGCCCTCGTGCGCCGCCTTTTTTTTTTTTTTTTTTTTTCCTGCGCCTCGAGCGCCTCGTTCTTAAGGCCCCCTAAGGCCCTCTCGCGTCGCCCCTTAAGGCCCCTCACGGCCCCTCGCGTCGCCCTCTTAAGGCCCCTTACGGCCCGGCGCTAGCCTCTCAAGGCCCCGTGTGGCCCCGCGCTAGCCTCTCACGGCCCCCGATCGGCCCCGCGCTAGCCTCCTAAGGCCCCCGTCGGCCCCGCGCTAGCCCCGCGCTAGCCTCCTAAGGCCCCCGTCGGCCCCGCGCTAGCCCCTCGCTAGCCTCCTAAGGCCCCCGATCGGCCCCGCGCTAGCCTCCTAAGCCCCCCGTCGGCCCCGCGCTAGCCCCCTAAGGCCCCCGTCGGCCCCGCGCTAGCCTCTCACGGCCTCGCCCTCGCCCTGGACGGCCCCGCGCTCTCACTTAGCAGCCCCACCCGGCCCCGCGCTCGCCCCTCTAGGACCGAGCCGAACCGCGCGACCCGACCGAGCCGCGCGACCCGGCCGAGCCGCGCCGCCCTAGCCGAGCCGCGCCGCCCTAGCCGAGCTGCGCCGCTCTACTGCTACTACCACTGCTGCTACAGCTACTCCTGCTACTACTACTGCTGCCACTGCTACTGCTTCAGCTATGGCTAGCCCTACAGTTCTCTCGTTCGATACTGAGGGCCGTCCGATTAAGTTTGATACCTGGCTCGATGATCTGCACCTGTTCCTCCAGCTCACTGCCAGAGAGGATATCTCGCTGTACGATCACGCACTAGGCACAGTCCCTGCTCCTGCTACTACTGCTACCGCTACTGCTCGCTCGCAGTGGCAGACTCGCGATGCCCACGCCCGCTTTGCCATTCGCAACTCCCTGCCAGTCGATGAGCGCGAGCACTTTGGCCAGCATCAGACTGCGCAGGCCCTGTACACTGCTGTAGTTGCGCGCTACTCCTCCCCGGCCTCAGCTGCACTAGGCCGTCTCTCCCTTCCCTACCTGTTCCCCGACCTGTCCGCTTTCCAGACAGACGCTGACCTCATCACTCACCTCCGTACTAGTGATGCCCGCTTCCGTGCAGCCATGCCCGCTGAGTTTCTTGCCTCCAACCCTCCCCTGCTCTGGCTCACTCTCTACCACCTAGTCACCCGCCTCCCTGACACTCTGCGTACAGTCAGGGACCACTTCCTAGCTCGCTGCCCCACTGAGCTCACCATTGCCGCCCTAGAGAAGGAACTACTTGCAGCTGAGAAGAGTATTGTAGCTGTAGGTGCCTCTCGTGGCGACCCCCGCACCCCTTTCTTCGAGGGGTGTTCCCCCTCCCCCCTCCTCCCCTCTGTCGCCTCTGCTGCTGCTGTCGACCTTCTTGGTGCTGAGCAGGTCGGCTCTGCGTCCGCTCCCAGCGGGCGCCGCAGCGGCAAGGGCAGGGGAGGCAAGGGCGGTGGGGGTGACGGCGGGGGAGGCGGTGGTGGGGGTGGTGGCAGCGGCGGGGGCGGTGGCGGGGCTGGAGGGGCTAGTGGCAGCGGTGGGGGTGGTGGAGGCAGCGGCGGCGGCGGTGGCCGGGGTGGGGGCGGTGGTGGTGGCGGCAGTGGATGTGGCGGCGGCAGGGGCGGTGGTGGTCGTGGTGGAGGCGGCGGTGGTGGTCGTGGAGGCTCTGGCACTGGCCAGAGTGCGCAGCACCCTCAGTCCTCCCAGGAGCTTCGTGAGTGGTACTTACAGCACGGGGGTGGGGGGGGTAGCCTTAGCTGCACGTACGTCATCCGCACTGGTCGCCGCAAGGGACAGACGTGCGGGAGGGCGCACACTGCGCAGCGCTGCTTCTCTCGCCTAGATGACGCTTGGCGTGCTCAGTTTCCTGACGCTCCTGAGCTCCCTCAGTGGGCTGATCTCCTCAAGAAGGATATCGATATCTATGCTCTTGATTTTGATGTTATTCTCAAAGCAATGTATGCATTGACTATTAGTGGAGAGGAGGACCAGTACCTGAGTGTTCCGCCTGACCCAGGCATCCGCACGAGTGAGGCTGCCGCCCTAGGTGCTTGCGTGTCTGCTACCCCAGGTACTGGTGAGGCTACTGCTCTAGGTGCTTGTGTGTCCGCCACCCCAGGTACTACTGAGTCCACTGAGGCACTGCACACCTTCACTCTAGACTCAGGCGCTTCGCGCTGTTTCTTTCGTGACCGCACTGCTCTTGAGCTCCTTGCTCGACCAGTCGCTGTCTCGCTCGCTGACCCCTCTGGGGGTCCGGTCATTGCGACCTCCTCCACCCTCCTTCCTTGTCCTGCTGTCCCGTCGGGCACACTGTCAGGTCTTCATCTCCCCTCGTTCTCTACGAACTTGGTGGCGGGTTGTGCGCTTCAGGATGGGGGTGTTCACCAGTTCACCCCTGCCTACGAGCGCGTGACACACTGCACGTGTGCTCGGACGGGCCGTCACCTGGCTACCTTCACTCGGCAGCCGGGGTCGGACCTGTACACACTGACCACTGAGTCCCCTCAGGTAGCGGCGTCTGCGTCTGCGTCTGCGTCAGGTCAGCTGTCTGCCCCCTGCTCGTGTCGCTCTCTAGCGCACAAGACTGTCCTCTGGCACCACCGACTTGGTCACCCGTCAGTGCAACGCCTTCGGGGCATGCACGCCCGGTACCTTGTCTCTGGTCTTCCTCGGGTACTCCCTCCCCTCCCACCCTCCCTTGCTCCTCCTTGTCTTCCCTGTGTCGAGGGGCGGCAGCGCGCTGCCCCTCACTCCTCCTCGTTCCCCCCGACGACTGCTCCTTTGCAGACGCTCCACATGGACGTGTGGGGCCCAGCCCGCGTCCGTGGTCAGGGCCAGGAGAGGTACTTCTTGATCGTCGTTGACGACTACTCGCGCTACACCACAGTCTT